TGTCGCTTTAAGAGAACGTGATGTATGCAGGCTGAAGACAAAATGTGCTTGTGCTTGGGGTTTGTAAATAAAAGTTACAAAACGAAGATGGACGTGTTGTTGGACAGTTCATTTTAAGGGTGCAACACCTGGTCTCCTGAAAATTAAGTTCCCACACTGTACAACAAAACTGCCGTCAATTACGGTCCGAGGGAACGTGTTTTCTCCTCAATTAGGTTTGTATTTGATGTATCACAAATACTGTGAATCAAAGCCTGCAAGTCTGCAAATGGAGGCGGCTGGTTTGGATGGATGGCTTAAACATGCCACTTTCACCAAAGAGACTGTTGCTGCTGCTTTGTGAGAAACCAAAAGTAACATTTATTTTAACCCAAAACAGGATCCATTACCAAAGCTAACCAAGTGGTTCTGTTGCCTGAACGTAAATGTAATTTAGAAAACAGTTTCTTTTTAATTATTTGTAATTTATTTGATTTACTTAATAGGGATAGTACACATTAATCAACATTTAATTTTCCACCTCAATGTTTAGTTAGCTAAAGAGCTAATTGTCCCTGTCCAGGTTACTACAAATTAGAGGCCTAATATTTTACAAGGCATTAGTGAGCACTACAGTACAACACAATTCTACACAATATAATAGTAGCAGATATGTAAAAACAACGAGGGTATGTAAGGTCAGTGTCAGAGATGAGGCAATGTAGTTACTCATGGTTTGGTTTGCTTTAATCTATTTTATTAGTTTCTGTTGAAAGGTTAGATCATCTGTGCTCTCATGAGAGCAAGCCTATGTAAAATCTTCAAGTTTAAAAATGGCCAAAGTGCCACAAGCAGTTAAAACACTAACATTGATATATGCACATAAAACTGTTGGTGTGAAACCAATTTTTTTTTATGTTTTCCTAATTTACATACAAATATCTTACTTTGGCGACCACGTTGCTCTGCAGTATACCAGAGTAATTAACCTAAGACCCAAGAAAGGAGTTATATAAATGTAGTTTTATAAATGTAGTTCAGGAACGGGGCCACGCCCAGAACACCGCTCATTTCCTCTGCACAGAGTATTTAAGCACAACGAACTCGTTCACTCCCTCTTCGACTCTCGTCTTCACAAGACATACAACAGACGCTCTCTAACTCAGCAGACGCTCCATCCCTACACCCCTCTACCTACACCCCTCTACCTACACCCCACATCCAGACGAGCAACGCTCTCTGACTCAGCTTTCATACAACTCAAGAGCTTTCATAGACCCAAGACAGACGAGCAACGCTCTCTGACTCAGCAGACGAGCAACGTTCCACCCCTACCCCACGCTCCTACCTCGACCCCCACGAGCAAACGCTCTCCGACTCAGCTTCAAGCTTTCATACGACCCAAGACAGAAGAGCAACGCTCTCTGACTCAGCAGACAAGCAACGTCCCATCCCTACCCCACGCTCCTACCTCGAACCCTACGAGCAAATGCTCCCCTATGAGCAAACGCTCTCCGACTCAGCTTCAAGCTTTCCTACGCTTTCCAGTCAGGCACGCGCCGATGACGTCATGTTGCGTCACACGACGGAAGAAGCCCATCCTTCTACATCAGTCCCTCCAGAGGGCCAGGTCATATACTCTGATCGTGAATCTTTAATCTGAGTTTAATCCTGGCATGTTCTGTTACTTCTACATTTAATTACTTTACAGTCATTTAGCAGACGCTTTTTATCCAAAGCGACTTACAATTTCTACACCGTAGGCACAACTGCCTACGGTGTCGTGTCTTGCTCGGGGACACATCGACGTGCGACTAGCGGGGCCGGAGCCGGGGATTGAACCGCCGACCCTCTGATTGAGAGATGGCCCTGCTATCCACTTAGCCACAGTCGCCCACCTTCCAGCTGCTACCTTCCAGTTCCACCCACCTCGGCCAACTTCGGCTAACTCCTCCCACCTCTACCGGCTACCCCAGCTGCACAGACCGCTCCAACAACAGAACAGGTAGGTATATGGTACAGCTAAGGGAGCAGCTCGGGGTTGGTTTTCTTGCCAGGGACGCAAGTCGTTTCTTAATGCCTATGTCGCCCCCCCCCCCCTCTTCCTCCACCCCTACCCCCATTAGCGTTGCCATCCCATCTTAAACACGCCTCATTTCCACAGCTCCGCCAGCAGACAATTCCAGCGTTCTCTGACTTATTCCCCCCCCCCCCCCACCAGTTTCACTTTTAGCCACAGCTAACCCTATCCTTGGACAATTCTGAAGTTGTCGGTCCTTTGCCTTCCAATAACCCCAGGAGGAGATCCCCGAGGGAGGTCGTCCCTCCACAACGCCGCTCTTCCACCCCCTCGAGATCCAGCCGCTCGAGCAATGGCCAAAACCACAGCGACCCTTCTTCCCCACGCCAACGCTCCGACGGCCCCATACATCCGCATTTCAGAGTGGACAGTCTATCGACTGAAGTATGCACTCACCCAGCTCAACATCCATTTCCACCAGTCCGACAGAAAAGCAAACTCTTCAAACTGCTCACGGCCGCTCGGCACTACACCTCCCTTGATCGCCGAGCCACCGTCAGGTGCTACGTCGACGCCCAGACAAGCCCGGTCACTCACACCAGCCCCCCTAGAGGGCCAGTTCGTATCGCACCCCCTCCTTACTCTCTCTGCACCAGGGATATCTCACCCTGCAGCCTCTTTTCCCCAATCTGCACTTCCAACCCACGCACACGCATCCTCTCATCCCAGCATCTTTTTCACTTCTCTTGCTCCTGCCTTTCCATTCAACACAACACAGGCTATCGATCCCGATAACTCGCCCAATGAACCTCGCCCAATTATCGAGCCATCCACACGCAATCCCCACATCTCCTGGGAATTGCTAAACAAGCTCAGTCGCTGCACTCAAACAGCCACTCCACACCTGAGCAGACATCACCAGGCTCCACCTAATTCTCAGCCCGGACTACTCCACGAAGTACATAAGAATCGGTCACGCCACGTTCCCCATTCGCCTCGCAGACATCACCAGCATCTCCAAGTCCTTACCACCGATCCCAACTACCGGTACCTTTTTTTTTTTTCATTTCCTTCGGAAGGACGTGTATTACTCCGCCATGCGTCCGTCCAAGAGCAGCTGGAAAAAAAAAATTTTCTTACCTGAACCCGGACAAACATCTTGTCACCACAACCTCTCGGTGCATCTCTTAATTCTACTGGCTTAATCACCACGGCCATTATCGTGCTACCTACTGCCACCCACTGGCACGGAAGAGTATTTAATTATGTAGCCAGCCACTATGTCGCAGGCCCAGATGCTCAACCATGGCCTTCTTCAAACCCAGCACACGGTCTAAACACTTGGCTTTTCTCCACCAGATAAATAGAATCAATAGATTAAACAAAATCCTCCTTGCCACACATCCCATTAGTCCCCGCCGCCGCTACAAACCTCCATGACCACGTCACACTTGACGAAACACGTAAACCGAGCTAAACCGACACCAGTTCCTCTCGGCATCTCCAACTTCCACGACGAACACATCACTAAGCCGGAAGACATCCAGCTTTTCACAGACGCAGCACCCTCGATCAGCTTCGACGGCTTCTACAGTGACAATCGGTCTTCGGCCGCTTGAATTCTCATCCCCCACACCTTCCTCCGCGATCTACGAAATGCATTCCATAGTCATAGTAGCCATTCTTTTGGGGCATGAACGGTCCATCAAGACCATTGCCATCCATTCGGAATATAGCGCCTAAACGGCTGCCCCTCACTTCGGACCTCCTCACCTGCGGCATCCTCACTCCCAGCCCAGGTCATCCGTCTCCCTTCACGGACAAAGCATTGAAGTCCACGTTCTTGCCAGCTTCTTTCGCTGCTCCGAGTTCACCGCCTTGGACTCCATCTGTCCCGACATGCCATCGCGTTCGACATCACATCCATCCTCCCGACACGGTCGTCTATCGCCTCAAATGCCGCAAGACCAACCAATACGGTCCACTTCAACCATCTACCGTTTCCGACCAGACTCGTACTCGAGTCCGTACGAACCCATCCGCGACTACTTAAGCCCAGATTTCAGCCAGCCGAATTCCCCGCAAGATCCCTGTTACGGTCTCGGGCTCACCACCACTTCCGCCATATCTTGGCCCAATCCAGAATACCCCCCGAGTTTACTCGGCGCCGCCGCCACCTCTTAAAGCCAAGGAATTTCCAACCACACCCTCAAGATACGCGATCGTCGGTCTTTCCCCGCGTACCTCAGGTAAATTCGTACCAACCCGAACGACTCCAGAAACGGCCATCGGCATCAGTCTTTATGGAGCTATCTTTTGGGGACTCTGCTCCGCCAGAGCTTCCGAAGAGATGGCCCCCACCCTACAGTCTCCAGTCCCCCCGTTCCCGCCAGTTGCCGGACATCAACGGTCCCTCATCGATCGCCTAACCTTCTTTCTACAAACCCTCCTCGTTTCTTCTTCCTGACATCTCTTCATCCCTCTACCCTACATCCCTTCATCCCTTCATCCCTCGACCCCTTCATCCCTTCATCCCTCAACCCCTTTATCCCTTCATCCCTTGACCCCTTCATCCCTTCATCCCTCGACCCCTTCATCCATCGACCCCTTCATCCCTCGACCCCTTCATCCCTTCATCCATCGACCCCTTCATCCCTCCACCCCTCGACCCCTTCATCCCTTCATCCCTCTACTTCGACCCCTACCCCCACATCCCTTCCTCCCTACCCCCACATCCCATCATCCCTCTACCCTACTCCCCTTCATCCCTCTACCCCTACCCTATATCTATTTCATCCCTCGATCCCTTCCACTTCTTGAATCTAACAATCTTTCCACTATGCAATAAACCTCTCGAAACTCATACTGTTATTGGCGTGGTCCTTGTTAGTGAAATGTAGATTGGATGTCTTTGTGAGATGATAAGATAAAATGGTTTATCTATGGGTGTGAGTGCAGATAAAGCCTGAGGTTATCTGCCTCTGCCATAGTCCGATTTGCTTCAGATCAGGTGATGTGCAGTACTCTGGTAATAGAATAGAAATCACACAGATTCCAATGTTCAAAACAGTTTGTTGCTACTGAGAGTAAACGGATCACAGGAGAGAAGGTCAGGGAAGCAGGAACTTTCAACCTGCACAAACACAAGTTTAGCTTAGTCTTTGTGTAAATCCTCTGTAATGCTGCTCCTCTGCCTTGCTGTCTTCTGCCTCATTGGCAATTCGTTCTGTGCTGTTATGCCACCGCACGACAGTTCAGGATCTGGGTCCACCAGGAACAAACTGCTGCTCATCTCCTTCGACGGTTTTCGCTGGGACTATGACAGAGATGTGGACACCCCTAACCTGGATAAGATGGCTCAGGAGGGGGTGAAGGCACAATACGTCACACCACCCTTCCTCACCATCACCAGCCCCTCACACTTTACCCTGCTCACAGGTATTGTAAAAATTATCTCCCTATATTAACCTTGTTGACAATATGTAAATTAAAAAATTTTATTAACATTTTAAAATTAAACCAGAAAAGGGTGGTTAAAAGGCTATGATACAAAAAGGCTCAGAACGTTTTACAGTGTGTTTTCAGCTCATGAAAGTTAAATGTAAAATTTTAGTCACTAAAAATTGTCTTTTCCAGCATCCACACATCCTTCTAGGACTATAAAAGTCTGTTTGTCAAGATTTTTCAGTCTTGATTGAATTGCTGGATTGACGAACCAACGTAGCCGACCCTTAACCCACATTGTAGCTAAAAGTGATGTCGGTCTAAATATATGCACATTTACAAATGTAAAAGTGTGCAACAAAAGTGTGTGTTCTCTATAATATAAGAAAGACTAATGGCCTTTCTTATATTATATTTTATTTAGAAACCCAATATTATGCTTTACCATGATACAAACTGTAATCTGTTGTCCCTCAGTGTGCAATCTGTTCACTACTGCAGGACTTGTTGTTCTATTACATTTTTTCATCTATATTTCCTCTTTTCATTAGGACGTTACATCGAGAATCACGGAGTAATTCACAACATGTGGTTCAACACTACTACTCAAGAGAAGAAGCAGTACTACATGACTCAGTTTGTTGATTCCTACTGGGACAATGGCAGCTTACCCATCTGGATAACAGCCCAAAGACAGGTTCTTTAGATCCATCTAACTTTTTATACCTGCTGCCTAGCTTAACGGTTTTCTGTATTTCTGGTTCTTGTGTCAATGAAAGACTTTGGACCTTTGTTCATATAGTGTCTTCTTTTTAGCAGAAAAACACCACAGGTTGCCAGGGAGTGCTTCATCCCAGCATGTCATTCTGTTTCTATGTCAACAATATCTTGACATATCTCAATCAATATATCATCACTCTAACTATCGTTATTTCAGCAACTATCATCGTCCCTTTGCTTTCTATTATCTAGTTGGGCTACTATCTAGTTGTTTGACATAGTTTTTTCACAATGAGCACCTAGCTGAGGATGCTTGTCCTCACTTATTGAAAGGATGAGCTTGTCACCTCTTAATCTGACAGCCGTAACGTTAGAGCAAGGAGGACAATTCATCGGATACAACACAGCAAAAAAAGCCCATCACTTATCTGCAACAATGTATGCCCAGTCAATCTACTCCCACAAATGGACTTTTCGGCCTTTGTTATGATAGTGACCGTCTAACATATAAAGCTCAGATAGATAAACAGGCCATAAAAAGCTCCTCCATTCTTTACAGTCATGTCTCCAGGCCTTTTTTGAATAGTTCAGAGATTTTCAACTGAAACGGCTCAGAGCGGGTGCTCAAAAAAGGTGGAGTGCTCGGGAAATAGATGGTGGGTGCAGCGTTTTTTCTCTAGGTGGCCGCATACAGACACATACAATCTCTCCTCATTGGGGACAACAGAAAAAATATACTGGTGCTCAGATAAAAATGCTTCATGGATACAGGCCCTTATGTTTCATTCTTTGACGAACAGATTTTGAGGAGCTCCTTTTCAGTAGTTGTGTTTTATATTCTTCCAGGGTCTAAAAGCAGGTTCTCTGCATTTCCCTGGCACAGCAGCCACCTACAAAGGAGAGACTGTGAAGGTTAGGCAAGTGGAACCTCGTTTCTATGATCATTCGAACGAGACAGATTGGAGGCTGAACATCGACAAGGTGATTGGAGAGTGGTTCCACCAACAAGACCTGGACTTTGTCTCCTTGTACTTTGGAGAACCAGATTCAACTGGCCACAAATATGGACCAGATTCCCCAGAACGTCGTGAGATGGTCCAGCAAGTGGACCGCACTGTAGGCTACATCCGGGACAAGATCCAAGACCATGGCCTTACTGACCGGCTCAACATTATCATCACTTCTGACCACGGGATGACTACAGTTCTACGGGATGGACTAGTTGAAGAAATCATCCTCTCTAAGATCCCTGGCTTCAGTTTCAGGGATATCAAGTTCCATCTGGTGGATTATGGTCCAGCTGGGATGCTGCTTCCTAAAGAGGGGATGCTGGAGAAGGTCTATCAAGCTCTGAAAGGAAGCCATCCTCATCTCCATGTGTATAAAAAGGAGGAGATGCCAGCCAGACTGCACTACAGTAACCATCCTCGACTCCTGCCCATCATCCTCATCGCTGACCCTGGATATGTAATCAATGGGGTAAGAAAATGCACACATCAGTCATTAAATGTATTACGACTATAACAAACCTGAATCTTAGAACCACTTCGTCACCAAAGTAGTCCTTAGGATGTATTTAAAAGCTGATTGTGGTATCTACTCTTAAACTAAAAAATCTTCTAAATAGCTTTGAAGGAACTCTGCATTGAAACCCTAGGGAATCATAATGATAGAATGTAAAAATTATGTAGCTCATTACAGGTTAATTGTTTAAATTTTTCACGAGACTTAATTTGCTTGTTTTCACTCCATGAATAGCTGTTCCCTGTGCAGTTCAATAAAGGAGAGCATGGCTTTGACAATCAAGTGATGGACATGAAGCCTCTCTTCAGGGTGGTGGGACCTGATTTCCAGAAAAACCTGGTGTCTGGGCCTTTTGAGACAGTTAATGTGTATCCACTGATGTGCCACCTACTGGGTGTAAACCCTGAAATCAACGACGGACACTTGGACAATACCAAACACATGCTGGGCCCTAAGAAAAACAACAGTAAGAAATGTTGTGTTATGTTATACATCTGTCACCATTGTCATCCCTTGTCATCCGCTCTTCACGGAGACCAGACGTGCAGTGGGGCAATCACACGATGTACCTCTTCTTCATGGAACGGAATTTATCATCATAACATTTTGTTCCCTTTCAGTTTATTCACTCCGTAAAATATAGTACAAATATAGTATGTGACATACTCATGCCCGACAGAGCAGCCACCGAACCAGAGTCAAACCTCCAGCACTATAGTGCATCATAGACACAGATAGAGTCAACCACTGAAGGGACTGTCACATCCAAATTTAAACGTGAACAAAGGTGTGAAAGCCATAGAGCTATAGGTAAGTCTTAGGCAAATCACATTTGGGCACAGTATGACCTTGGAGCCATCCAAAGTGAACTGGGTGCAAGAGGGATGCACAGATAAAGCAAGGAGGGCACCCAGCTGCCTTGCGGAGGTCAAAGCCAAAAGCAGTGCAGTATTTTGTGTAAGAAATCTCATATCTACAGACCAAAGATGGGAACTCGAGTCTGCGATTTGGTCTCCAGTTGCACTTAATAATAATAATAATAATAATACATTTTATTTTTTATTACGCTATAAAAAGGTACTCAAAGACACTTTACATGGTAAAAACAGAAGTAATTACAATAAAAACCAAATAGATGACATCATAACAGTAAGGAACAACACACAAAAAAAAGAAAAACAAACATAACTGACTTTACAAGTTAAAAGCAGATTTATATAGGTGAGTTTTAAGTGCAGTTTTGAAAGCGGTGAGTGACAGAGAATGTCTGAGGTGCTGGGGGAGAGACTTCCAGAGGGAGGGGGCAGCAATGGAGAAGGCCCTGTCCCCCCAGGTCCGATGCTTGGACAGAGTAGGGGGGGTAAGGAGGTTGGCGTCGGCGGATCTGAGGTTGTGGTTGGAGCGTGTCGATGCAGGAGGTCCGAAAGGTATGAAAGGGCGAGGTTATGAAGGGCTTTGTATGTGATGAGAAGAATCCTGAACTGACTGGATTCTTTGCTGTATGGGGAGCCAGTGGAGGTTTTGAAGGACTTGGGTGATGTAGTCTCTGGTGGAGTGGGAGAGCAGACGGGCAGCTCAGTTCTGGATACATGTTGATGATTTTGGTGGATGAGCCGTACAGGATGCTGTTGCAGTAGTCCAGTCGAGAGGTGATGAAGGCGTGGATGAGTGTTTCAGCGGCTGAGGAGGAGAGGGAGGGGCGGAGACGGGCGATGTTTTTGAGATGTAAGAAGGTGGTTTTTGTGATGTGATTGACATGGCGTTCAAAGGAGAGAGTTTGATTGAAAATGATGCCAAGGTTACGGACATGTGTGGAGGCAGTAACAGTGGTGCCATCGATGCAGAGAGAGAGAAGTTGTGGTGGGATTTGTTTAATGATTTTGGGCCGATGGTGAGGACTTCAGATTTGTCGCTGTTGAGTTTGAGGAAGTTGGCTTGCATCCAGGTTTTTATATCTGTGAGGCAGTTGGTGATGGTGGAGTGGGTGATGGATTTGGTGGAGATGTAGAGCTGGGTGTCGTCAGCATAGCAGTGTAAGTGAGGACCATGGTGGCGTATGATGTCGCCAAGGGGGAGCAGGTAGAGGATGAAGAGGAGGGGACTGAGTACTGAACCTTGGGGGACACCTTGAGAGACTGGGGCTGTGTCAGACTTGAATTTGTTGATACTAATGAACTGTTCACGGTCGGAGAGGTATGATTTGAACCAGGAGAGGGCTGTGCAGTAATGTGGAGGAAGGACTCGAGACAGGAAAGGAGGATGGAGTGGTTGATGGTGTCAAAGGCTGCACTGAGGTCGACCAGTATTAGGATGTTGAGGGAGTGGTCATCAGAGGAGGTCATTGCTGACTTTGATTGGGGCAGTTTCTGTGCTGTGATAAGATCTGAATCCAGATTGAAATGGTTCATACAGTTGGTTCGAGTCCAGGTGGGACTTCACTCACACATTGACTTGAGACTAGACTTGAGCAGGTGAGGGAAAGCCACTCGGCGTGGGAGGATCCCCTTGTTGACTGACTAACGGCTTATTACAACCATAAAAGACTGCCCCTCTAGACACACATGCACAGGCTCGAACCCGACAGACAGACCTTGGCTTGGCTTCTTCGTCCTGGAATCCAAGAAGAGGACGGATGATGTCCTGCTTTAATCCAGGTTCTCACAAAAGGCACCGTTACAACTTTGTTCAAAGGGGGTCGGTTTAGGTCCACAAACAGACGTGAAGACCCAACCAGTTGCGGTTCTGGCTGGCTGGGACATTTACGCCAGAATATTGTCTCTCTCACTCACTATTCTTATTTGTGAATACATTTTTTGCAGTTTGAATAATGAATACCGGGTATTAGTAAGCTTTTAAAAGACATTTAGTGACAATTGCAAGTGACAAATAATTTTCTTATGATTTTAGACACCAAAATGTTGCTATTGAACCTTTCACGGGGTCTGACGTGTCAATCAAGGGTTCTCAGCCTCCGCAACCTCCACTCTCTCACCAGAGAGACCTCGAGACCATGGCCAGGCAGTCTGGAACATGGGTGGCTCTGAGACTCCTGCTATTGTACTTCTGCTATTAATTAGAATGTACATTTTTATGAGTTCTCTAGTGCATAAGGTTGTATCACAGGTATTATAACACAGTTGTTTGCTTTTTAAATGTCTCTCTGTGGTCAGCTGTCGCACTACTTTTATGGGATGTGACTGTGGTTTGCAGTTTAGTGGTGTTCCTGTTTGTACTTAGATATCAGTTTCATTTGACTGTTTCATGATTGCTTTTAATGAAGAGCTGCAGACGATAAGGTTTAAAAAACAAGAACACCAAATCATAGCCTTTTATCTGTTAAGCCATGAAAAAACAGTTTGAATTGCCACAGTTACTCAATGCTCAGCTTGCTGCAAGTATATGGCTGGACTCTGTATGGCTGGTCAATATGCAAGAATTTTTTGGGCTTTTTTGTACTTGTGATTCAAACCGGAGATTTCCAATGCCTACTAAAGCATCAAGTGCAACTGTCAGTCACTGTCTATGAAAAAAATACTTTTTTTTCCAGAACCAGGGGTACCCAACATAGCTACTTCCACCTGGCTAACTCCATAATACGCTAAAAGCTCTACATAGAACGTGCCCATTGTTTCCATTTTTCTACAAAAAAATGTAAGTCATCAAAATAATTTTATATTATGACTTTACCATTCCTGTAAAATTAGCCTAAAATGCATATCCAAGGCATACCCAGAGTAAATTGAAAACTGTTCTTGAACCATTTGGAGTACCTACATGGTTTTGGTCTCTTTTGAAAGGTAACACTCTGAAGTTTTTTCAGAATCACTGTAAGTGCTACTGGCATTGAGTAATAGAAGTTTGAACACACTGAAGTAGGATTGTATTTCCGCCTGAATATTTATTTGCAAACAGATGCCTGCAGATGACTATAGCTGGGACTTATTAGCTGGAAAAGACAATGGGACCACAGCATGAAGCCTTACCTAGTCCAAGTTCAAATTTGATAACAATACCACAGAAAATTTATATTTTACACATGTTTTTCTAAGGGTATGTCTAGGCGCTTTACAAAAAAGGCCATTTGGAGATGCTTGGTAACCATGGTCACATACCTAGGCTTAAAATACCTAACTCACTCCTGATCTGAATCTACATCACATGATTGCCTTTTATGTGAAAATAAAGAAACAGTCATTTACAAAACTAGACAAAACTTTTCCATCTTTTCTGCATTCTACTTTTTTACAGCTCGCTGCCTCACATGTGAGCAGTTCACACAATGAAACACAGAGGGGTGAAGGCACACACACACACACCTCCTTATGTAGGTATATACATATATATATATATATATATATATATACTGTATATATCTACTCTATCTATATATATACCTCCGCCAGATCAGCAGTAACACCTAAAGACACACACAGTGAAACAGAGGGGTAATAAAACTTCACACACACAAACACCTCCCTCCCCCAACAGGTCAGTAGATTCACTGGGGAAAGGTAATCTACAAAATGTGTATTCATAATTAAAAATAAAGCTTATTTATATCGAAATACAGTAATTTATAAGTTATTTCACCATTATTCACTTTCCTAAAGTCTCCAAAACTCTCAAAAACCACACTTTGCATTTTACGCACGGACGCAGACAGCAGACTCGCTGTTACGCAGTTACTTCCGTGTTGTGGCTTTAAATCTAACCACAGAAGCAGCACATCGTCGTTTTCGAAATTTCATTGGTTATACGAAGAGTCAGTCATCAGAACGATCGGTTGTAATTGGCTCGGTCTTTACACGAAAGAAGAGGGGCAGGCTCTTTCCTTCAACGCGGACTCTTGTTGGCTATTGTAGGCTGTGGACAGGAGACGGAAGCTCCTATTGGGTCAAGTGAGGAGTCAATCGAAAGGTCAGAGGGCAGCCTTTCATTTTGAGAGCCAGATATCAGCAATGTTTACATGCAAACTAGAGTTAGGACAGAAAATACATAAATAATTAGGCATATCTACCGGCTAATTTGAAATGATGCAACAGCAGTCCGTGGCTATTTATTGACTTAATAATGTGTTTTGGACTAAATATTTTACTGGATTGGATCGTCTGAACCTTTGTCAATGTAACAAGTCCGTTTTGTCTGAATATTATCGATGGGTGGATTACTATGAGGCTTTATTGGTGAGTTGCCTCAATTCTGTAATTGTTGGTTGGTGGTCTGACAGAGGCGTTGATTGTACCTGCTGTTGTGATTGTATCTTGAAATGGTTTGCATCAATCGAATCACAAGAATCATAGCTTTCCAAAGATATGTCGCATCAGTACCTACCTATACATAGCAGTTGTGTACATGACACAGATGTACACTTAACACTCGGAGTGTTAACAGGGATAAATTGATAAGGAACAGATGATGGCCATATGATGGACTTTTGACTTGACCTGCCAGAAAACCACACTGTCATCACCACTCTTAGATTCAGAGAACAGATAGTGTGGCAATATACTGTACAACACAAGATAACCAATGTCTAGATAACAGATACCCTGAAACACATCCATAAATCCAACTTTCTACTAACATTAGTGATAAAAGCATCATCCTCTCTGTGAATGTCCCTTTCTGTGTTGTTTTTTCTGTATAGTTATCTCTCTCTTCTAATATGTTTCTGTCTGTCTGCAGATCCAGAAATAAATGTCCAGTTACAAGTGGTCGTCGGCCTATCAGCAGTGATTGGGTTTCTGGTACTGGTGTTCACAGTGACCACTTCCTATGCTTGGTTCAAAAGGAGCAGAACAGAAAGGAGGTAACAGGCTGTAATCATGTTATAACCATTAATTATAATTTGTGTGTTGCCCTCTCCTGGCCAAGTCACTCTTATCCATGACTGCTATGCAACTTGACAATGTAAATTCAACATGTCAGTCTGATTTTATACATATGTGTGATTTAGAATTATAAATATATTAATAATAGAATACCATCCAGATCAATATTACACTCTTGTCAAAGATTGATGTTCCTTCATCCTATAACAAAAGGTGGAGACGATACAGTTTTATGTATTCATTCCAAATTTTGTTCTTTCTCACTTGACCTCTCTGTGGTCTTTTCTCTCTTTCTTCAGTTTCAAAACATGCTGCTGGTGAAGAAGTTAAAGACGTGAGGCAAAGCCGTTTTTGAGATTCAGATTGATGTTTTGGAAAAAAAACACTATTCTCCTTGTTAAAGGAATCATTTTCCGTTAATTAAAAAAAATGTAAATACCTCTTGACTGAAGGTAACAGTGAATAATTATTGTCATGTCCATGGAGGTAATGACCTGGTTTGTTTGGTGGCTGGAAGCATCTCAATTAGGTATTGACCAAGAAATAAGTACTTGATTTTTTTGTATGGATGTAAGAATTCTTTTACATATTTGAACATTTCACTGTTTTCTCATAAATGACAAAATAAGGCAAATGCATCCCAAGATTGTCACTGAGGATATTTTCATAAAGATCACAATACAAATGCAGATTAAATTAAATGTCCTAACATTCCATAAATGTAGACTATTGTGCAGCCTGAGTGCTTTATTGTTGACTTTGATTCAGTGTGAATTCTTCATGATGACTTTGTCCTTTCTTTATATCAACTTTGCTTAAAGCTACCAGTAACACCTTCAATTACAGCTAAGTAATGAGGTTATGGTGTGTAAAACCTATTATATCCTCTATTAATAACAGGGAATTGCCTTAAACAAAAATATTTTTGTTGGTTCAGTATTAGTTTCCCTTGTGTGACCAACCAGAAATAAAGTTGTCTTGATGGGAAATATCTTATTCATGTACCTTATTTCTGTCTCGCATAAGAAACTGCACCACAGATCTGCTGCCTATAGCTGGATAACAGTGTATGCACATTTACTTCATTTAAATGTATATGTGCTGATATTGGATTATAATACCAGCTCACCATGTTGAAATTGAATGGCGCAGCTGTCCGCTTGGAGTGAAAGCTGTCACAGTCACATGGGCTGAATAAAACATTAATATCGTACTTTGTTGGTGCCAATCTGTTATGGCTGTTTGCACATTCGGCAGTAGTAGGCAGCGACCACGTTTAAAATGTGTGAGAAGAGATTGTTTCAATAGACAGACTGTACAGGCATGTAAGACATGATGTAACATGTGAAAGCATATTTAAAGTAGGATGTAAAAATGAATACAGTGCAAGTCAATAAAATATACAAATAATGGAGAATCAACTCTAAGTTGTAATGAATGTTTTCTGCAAAAAGGAAAACAGGCAGTAAGAGACCCACCCTCTACATGCAGCGTGCACCCTCTACATGCAGCGTGCACACTCTACATGCAGCGTGCACACTCTACATGCAGCGTGGAAGTGTCAGCGGCCTTGTTCGGTGGGATGGACATATTTGTGTCCTCGACACCCATCCCACGGCGATGTCGGGGTCAAAGCCATGTCTGTTCCTCTGGTTAAATCCTTTGGACAGGCCTGGCTCCATTTCAGGGTCTGAGCTCACTGGAATGACAAAAGACTGGTGAAAAGTATGGGGGGTTGTGCAGCTCCTGACGGATTACAATGAATGAATGGTAGCTTGCTCAACAAGATAACATGACTGTCTTGTACCTAGCAAGGTTGTGCTATTCAAAGAAAACATGTCCTCTCCCTGGCCATAATATGTAGTCAAATGTTTTGTTGAATGCAATTGTTTGCCTTTTATGTTTTTGCACTATTGACCAAACATTTTTCATGGATTAAAATGAGCAGTTGCTGGCATTCTTTGATTTTCACTTATTGTGCATGTTTATGTGAATGTCATAACATAAGATAAGTTATTTTGACCGCAGTCTTCTAGGTTGGACATTAGCACCCTCCACTGGCCAAATGTAGGTGAACTTGGCCGGTGGCAGGTGAATTTGATCAACCAACAGTCACATTGGAGAAACAAGGGGGGAATTTAACAAACAATTGAATCGTTCCATGAAAAAGTCAACTCAATCATCAGGCGCCTATGGAGCAGAGGAGTGCAGCTTCTGGGACACTTCTGGCCTGTGTCTGGTGGAAGAATAAGTGAATTACCAACACTGCCATAAAAGCATGATAAATAGTAAATGCATACATACTGTAAATATATTTTACATCATGGGAACAGTTCCATTTCCCTCCAATTTTAAACCGAAAAAAATATTTATGCTGTCCCTTCATCACTCCCCATGAAAAAATGCTATTATATGTATTGAATATAAGTGTAGTAAATGCAGTAATAAATTAGCACTATGCATTAATATTGACCAAAAATTGCTGCACATACAGTTGCTGCTATTGAAAAACATTCAAACGGGGTGACAGCACAGATTTGTTTATAACTATTGAGAGCTTCATGAACCTCGTGACCATGTGGTGGCCAGATAAAGTGTGTCGCAACTCTCTCTTTCAAAGGGTCTGAGTTGGAGTAATATATATGTAACTCTGTTTTATGTCAAAAATAATAATAATAATAATAATAATGGGAACTTAAAGGGAATGGCCTCTTGATTTGTGGCAAATGTCTTGTCATGTTATGCCCGTCTCACCTATTGCGGTTTTAAAGGATTCTTATCATATCACTGTATTACACTCAAGGTATACAACTTTGGTTTATGGGTTGATAAGGGCTAACTGATATCTCATATTTAGTACAGACATTGACTAGGGGTGTATCTACTAACATTGCACCATACAATCTCATACTTTCCACAGGGTAATGTCAGCCATACTACTGCAGTAAGACGGGAAGAACAACAACGTCTTTTTTCAGGACATTTTTAGGAGACAAATTCAGCACATCTGAAAAAGTCTAAATAAAGTGGAAACTGTCACAGCTCTGTCACTTCTATCTAGCTTTTTCCACCTTTCACTCATCTAATCAGTTCATTCAGTGCACCTGCCAGTCACACTCACCTCATCAGCTCATCACTCTCACCTGCTCACTCTGCCTCTTCACTATTTAAACCCCTGCCTCACACGCACTCACTGCCAGATCGTTCTCTGCATTCATGCTAAACTTTCCCGCATTCACCCATGGACTGATTCCCTGTTGCCGACCCTGCCTGTTCCGGACTACCTCGCCTTGCCTCTGCCCTGGTAACTTACTCAGCCTTTCTGTACTTGACCCCGAGAATCCTGTCGCTGATTCTTCCGGAGAATATTCTGCCTGTCCTGTGTTGAAAATAAAGAACTTAAATCATACCAGTCCTGGTGTTGTCGTACTGCTCCTGGGTCCTAACTACACCCGTTACAGGAAACTATTGGATTCTAAATCCTCAGTCATGGCGCGGCTCTGCCTTGCTGTCCTCTGCCTCATTGCCAGCTCTCCCTGTGCTGCTGCTCCACCAGGAGATGAGCTGCCATCAGTATTCACTGGGTCCACCAGTATTCACTGGGTCCACCAGAAACAAGCTGCTGCTCCCCTCCTTCGATGGCTTCCGCTGGGACTATGACCGAGATGTTGAAACCCCTAACCCGGATAAGATGGCTAAGGATGGGGTGAAGGCAGCCTATGTTACTCCACCCTTCCTCACCATTACCAGCCCTTCTCACTTCACAATGCTGTCAGGTAAAAGCAACAGTTTAGTGCTTTATATTATAAACGGTGGCCAATCTGCCAAGCCCTTTCAATTGCCTCAGTTTGGTGTGTAAATGCATAAGTGATGTCATGCACACATTCTGTATACTCACTGACTGGAGAGATACATTGTCTACTGTCGAACAATTATTGAATTATGTAAAAGATAGTTTACATAAAAGGAAGGTTTATCTCCAGAGTAGTGGGAACAGGCCCCCACTCCTGAAACCAAAGCAGGGATGGGTGCTCACAAACATATTTGGTTTGGGTGAATTTGATTTTGTATGCATTCATTAATAATTTAAGGAATTGAATGTGGTGTTCTCAGTGTTGGCTTTAACTCAAGCTGAAGATGGGCATTAGATCCTAACTACTGATCTAATGTCCATGGATGACAGGACCCCCTGATTGCCACTGGGTATTTCGAACACTGTTTACAACACATAATGGCAAAAACTTTCCATGCTGTAGTGAGTTGGTTTTGAACGGTTCTAACTTAGTGAGTTGGTCTTTTTTTGGTAGTTTTATATTGCATTCCATCATTTGTCATCAGTCAGACTGTCTGATGTCATCAGGGAGCTTATTGCAGAGGACTGGGGTACGATAGGAAAAGGTCCTGCAGCCTGTTGACTTATTTTGAATTGTATAGCATTCTGAACTGTTTGCAGACTTTAGCACTAGGTCTGACAAAAACATGTTACAATAATAAAGTTTGGTGAATAAAACGGTTTGAGTTAGGATCATGAAGAAGACAGCAAAAACCTAATTTGAGCTATATTGCATAGGTGGAAAAGGGCGATCTTGGTCATTTTTTTTCATATGCTGATCAAAAGAGAGGAAAGAATCATAAGTTCATGTATTCTTGGCTGAGAAATCAGACAGTTGGAAGTTAGTCGTTCCTTGATCAAATTGGTTAAGCAGGGCCAAAGACCACCATCTCACTATTAGAATTTAGGATAAGGTTCAAAGGTTATTACAAACATATAAAAGTTCTTTCCCTTCCCTCAGGACGTTGCATCGAGAATCACGGAGTAATCCACATGTGGTTCAACACTACCACTCAGGAGAAGAAGCAATACTACATGACTCAGTTTGTTGATTCCTACTGGGACAATGGCAGCTTACCCATCTGGATAACAGCACAGACAGGTTCTTTAGATCCATCGTTCTGTTTTCTACATGCTTGCTCTGCAACTCTATGTGAGATCACAAGTGCTTTGAGTGGTCGGAAAGACTAGAAAAGCGCTATAAAAGTACAGTTAATTTACCATCACAATTAAAGGAGTATTTTTGTAATGAATTAATAATTGTTTTGCATTCTTCCAGGGTCTAAAAGCAGGTTCTCTGCATTTCCCTGGCACAGCAGCCACCTACAAAGGAGAGACTGTGAAGGCTGGCAAGTGGAACCTCGTTTCTATGATCATTCGAACGAGACAGATTGGAGGCTGAACATCAACAAGGTGATTGGAGAGTGGCTCCACCAACGAGACCTGGACTTTGTCTCCTTGTACTTTGGAGAACCAGATTTGGTTGGGCACGACTTCGGACCAGATTCCCCAGAACTTCGTGAGATGGTCCAGCAAGTGGACCGTACGGTGGGCTACATCAGGAAGAAGATCCAAGACCATGGCCTTACTGACCAGCTCAACATTATCATCACTTCTGACCACGGGATGACTACAATTCTACGAGATGGACTAGTTAAGAAGATCATTCTCTCTAAGATCCCTGGCTTCAGTTTCAAGGATATAAAGTTGCAATTGTTGGATTATGGTCCAGCTGGGATGCTGCTTCCTAAAGAGGGGATGCTG